GTGAACCTTAAGGTCAGCGGTTTGAAACTACCAGCCGCTCCGCAGGAGAAAGATGAGGCTTTCTACTCCCGTAAAGATTTACACCCCCGGAAACCCTGTACAGGGTCGCTATGGGTCGGAACCGACTCGATGGCACTTAACAACAATGAGCTTCTTCAGTCTGAAGTTGATCAAACATGCAATCGAGATGTATTGATAATTACAGACAATTTAAATGCAAAGGTTGGAAACAAAAAGAAAGGACCAGTGCTGGAAAATATCGCTTTGGTGATAGAAACAATGCTGGAGATTGCATGATAGAATTTTGCAAGACCAATGACTTCTTCATTATAAACACCTTTTGTAAACAGCATAAAAGATGACTATATACATGGCCCTCACGAGATGGAATACACATAATAGTACATCTGCAGAAAGATAAGGTGGAAAAGCTCCCTATCTTCAGCCAAAACAAGGCCAAGGGAAGACTATGGAACAGACCATCAGCTTCAAATATGTAAGTTCAGGGTGAAACTCAAGAAAACTAAAACAACTCCACAAGAGCCAAATTATGACATTGAACATATCCTATCTGAATTTAGAGAGCATTTCAAGAGTAGATTTGATGCATTATAAACTAAAGAACAAAGATAAGAAGCATTGTGGGATGACACCAAGGCCCTCAAGGATGAAAGCAAAAGATCATCAAGAAGACAAGATAGAAAAAAAAAAGACTAAAATGGATGTCAGAAGAGAATGAAACTTGCTCTTTAGCACACAGATACTAAAGCAAAGGGGATAAATTAAGAGGTAAAAAAGCTGAATAAAAAATACAAAAGGTCAGCTGAAAAAGACTGTTAAATATAAAGAAATGTGCAAAGAGTTAGAGTTAGAAAAACAAAAGGGAAGAACACACTTAGCATTTCTCATGCTGAGAGAACTGAAGAAAATGTTCAAAGCCTTGACTCACAATATTGAAGGATTCTATGGACAAAATATTGAATGATGCAGAATTCAAAAGAAGATGGAAGAAATACACAGAGTCAATGTAACAAAAAGAAGTGGTCAATGCTGAGCCATTTCAAGTGGAAGCATATGATCAAGTGCCAATTATACTGAAGTGTCAATTATACTGAAGGAAGAATTTCAAGTGGCACTGAAGGTATTGGCAAAGTACAAGGCTCTGGGAATTGATGGGATACAAACTGAAATCTTTCGACAAAATGAGGCAGCACTGTAGGCACTCACCTATACCAAGAAATTTGGGAGACAGCTACATGGCCAAATGGCTGGAAGAGATCCGAATTTGTGCCCATTCCAAAGAGAGATGACCCAACAGAAAACATCATTAATATCTCATGAAAATAAAATTTTGCTAATGATAATTCAAAAGCAGCTGCAAATGTACTCTGATAGAGAACTGCCAGATTTCAAGCAGGATTCAGACAATGATGTGAAATGAGAGATACCATTGGTGACATCAGATGGATCTTGGCTGAAAGCAGAGAATACCAGAATGTTTACTTCTAGTTTATTGAACAGGCAAAGGCTTTCGTTTGTGTGGATCATGAAAAGCTATGGACAGCATTGAAAAAAAATGAATATCCCAGAACACTTAATCGTGCTTATGAGGAAATTGTACAAAGACCTAGAGACAGTTGTTTAAGCAAAACAAGGAAATACTAAATGAATTAAAATTAGGAAAGTTGTGTGCCATGGTTGTATTCTTTAACCATATTTACTCAATCTGTATGCTGAACACATAATCTGAGAAACTGGATTATATGAAGAAAAACATGGTATCAGGATTGGAGGAAGACTCATTAACAACCTGGAATATGCAGATGATACAACGTTGCTTGATGAAAGTGAAAAGAGCTTGAAATACTTAATGATGAAAATCAGAGACCACAGCCTTTGGTATGGGTTGCATCTCCATGTAAAGAAAACAAAAATCCTCACCACTGGATCAATAAACAACATCCATATAAATAAAGAAATAGTGAAGTTGTCACAGACTTCATTGATTGTCGCCATCTTTTTGCTATTGTCAATATTGCTGAGGTGAACATTGATGTGCATATATATACTTACTTTTCTAGTAGTTATATACCAAGTGCAGGGATTTCTGGGCCATACAACTTTTTGAGAAAGAACTATACCATTTTCTACAGTGATTGAATCATTTTATAGTTCTACCAGCAATGTAGGAAGGTCCCAGTCTTCCCTCATCCTCACCAGCATTTGTAGTTTTCTGTTTTTTTGTGTTTTGTTTTTAATGCTAGTGTGAGATGATAATCACATTGTTGTTTTTATTTACATTTCTTTAATGGCTAATGACGGGAGTCCAAGTGTGGCGCTGTGGGTTAATGCGCTGGACTGCAAAAGTTGATTTGAGCCACAAAGTTTTCAATTCAAGGTCAACAGCCTCTCCTCAGAGATGCTATACACAGTTGTTATGGGTCAGAACCGATTTGACAGCACTTAACAACAAGCAACAGCAGTGATTAATGATAGTGAACATTTCTTCATGTGTCTGTTGGCTGCCTAAATGCCTTGCTTAGTGAACTGTCTGTTAATGTCCTATGCTCATTTTTTTAATGGAGTTGCTTGTCTTTTTCTTGTAGAAGTGGTGTTGTTTTTTATAAATTTCAGACATTAATCCGTATTTCATTGCAGTGTGTCAGCAAAAAAGAGGAAGACTGCAACAAGAAGGATTAGCACAGGGACAGCTCAAGCTTAACAATGATTGTGAGAATGGTGCAGAAACAGACAGTGTTTTGTTCTGTTGTTCATAATGCTGCTATGAATTGGAACTGAATCGATGGCATCGAACAACAACAATGTCTATTAAGTGTCCAACAGCATTGAGATCAAGTACATAACATTGTGAGAATTAACGAAATAGGACACAGAGACAGAAGGTTAGCATGTTGTTGTTGTTATTGTTAAGTGCCATCGACTCACTACTGACTCATAGTGACCCTGTACAGGGTTTCTACGGAGCAGCTGGTGGGTTTGAACCACTGACCTTGTGGTTCCCAGTACAATGCTTATCCTACAGTGCCACACACGCAGTGTACAGCTGTTGGAAAACCAACAGAAAAGAGCTGATGGATGCAAAGCTGCCACAAATCTTCCATTTGGAAATATGTGCACAGTAGAGCAAAGTGCAATAAAATGAGGTATAATTATAATGATAAAATAAAATTTATGTCTTTTATCTTGCTTCTTAACAGAATGTTTTATGTCTTTTTAAATTAGTCTATCCCTGAGTGCTGGCTTCTTTTATGTTGAATTACTTTCTATTATATTTAAGTATACATTTTCAATTATTCTTTTGTATCTTTTACAATATATGAAGGAACATCAAAAGGTTCGTGGAAGAATTGAATTAAAACATAAGGGATTTTTTCCATGAACCTTATTGTAGCCCTTTGTATGTTCGAGTTATTTTCTTAGTGACTTCCCTAGAGATTACAGTTAGCATTATTATGGTTAAACCCAAGAAATCAATAGCATCTTAATTTCAATAGCAAGGAGCACTAGTGGTATACTGCATTATGTGCCAGACTGCTAACTGCAAGGTCAGCAGTTTGAATCCACCATTTGCTCCAAGGGAGAAAGATGACACTTTCTGTTCATGTAAAGATTTATAACCTCGGAAACTCTATAGATTGCTTTGAATGGGAACCAACTTAAAGACACACAACCACCACCAGTTTCAATGGTATTCAATAGGTCTCCATCCTGCTCGTACTTTGTAAAACTAATGTGATAAAATTGATGCCTCTATATATTAAAAGCAAGTGTGTTTTTGCTTCATTTCTTGAAAAGTCTTTTACTTCAAGAGGACACTACCAAGAAAATGGAAATATAACCAATAGAATAAGGAAAATATTTGCAAATCATTTATCTGATAAGAATGTAGTATATATATTTATTCCAATGTGATTTTAATATCTCTAAGGAGATCTGGTAGCATAGTGGTTACGAATCAGGCTGTGAACCACAAGGTCAGCAGTTCGAAACTACCAGCCACTCAGCGAGAGAAAGAGGAGGCTTTCTGCTCCCGTAAGGATTTACAGCCTCGAATACCCTATACAGGGTCACTATGGGTCAGAACCGACTCTACGGCACTTAACAACAATGTTTCAGTATCTTATATTTTTCTACTTGAAGGGTTATTTTCTTCTGTGTCCCAAACTGTAGGGAAGAGCAGATTCTGTAATAGTAATGAGAATAGGGATGAAGGAAAAAATATATATATATTTTTTTTTTTTAATTAAATTTATATTTGTATTAGCAGGGCTAATAACACTATCCCATGATTTGAAGAAATTCACAGTGGGATTTCTTTATTTACTTATTTAATTTTACTCATTACCATCACTGAATTGACTTCAATATTACTTGAAGAAACATTGAATATGCATAACGTGCAAGGGTCTTGTCATTACATTTTCTCAGGGTTTCTTTTATTTTGTATTTTTCACCACAGAATTGCATACTTTATTTTTCCCCCATCTCCTTCACTTAATATGTGTAGTGTAGTGGTTACAAATTGGACTGTGAGCCATAAAGATTTGCAGCCTCGGAAACCCTGTACAGGGTCTATGAGTTGGAACTGACTCCATGGCACATAACCACCACCACCATCCTCTACTTGGGGTCTTGGTATGATGCTAGAAGATAAGCCCTGGACTCCTGGCCATAAGCTTAATGGTTCAAAACCACCAGCCACTCTTTGGAAACCCTATGCAGGGTCCCTATGAGTCCAAAATAACTCAACAGCACTTACCAACAACCCTCTACTTAGTAATTTACGCTTTATCTCCCTGTGGTCCCTGGTAACCATTAGCTAAGTCTAGCACTTTTTAAAGAGTATACTGAGAAAATACACTGTACATGAAACTCCAGTTCTTGAGTCTAATCACATGAACTCACATTCTTCTCTCTTCTAAGGAAAAGAAAATGACCAAAAATTTTTGCTTTTAAAGATAATAAAACTAATTTAAACTCAATAAAATCTGAATGATTCCTATTCAGAGCCACACAGATAATAGATACAACTCAATGAATTCTAAACTCATGTTTCTGTCAGCAAATTATATCAAATATAGAGCCCTGCATGACTCATGAGTGATTTTTTTTTGGTCTAACAGATATTAATAAAACTTTCTTTTTAAAATGACAGTAAGTATGAGTGCTTGTATGCAGAGTTGATAGTAGGAAAATTCTAATAGAATACTTTTTTATAACCTTATTTCACTTATCCCAGATATGAAGTGTTCACCTGTTTAAATCTCAGTTCATTCTCCTAATCATCTATGGAGTCTCTAACTCACCTTTCAATCCACTGACATCATTGTGTTTTTGACTCTTGAAATATTTCATTTACCTTAAAGCACTGACCTCTAACTTGTTTTCCAAACTCCAAACATCTAAAAATCCATCATTGGCATATTTGGCACAGCAATCTTTATCAAATAAATATATGAGTAGACACATATCTTCTTAGATCACAGAACAGAATCTCTTCTATGAAATACCTGCCTCAGAATAACCAACAGCCCATGTTTCTAGACAATTCTATGGGATTTGAAGTTCTTTTACATATGAGACACATAGGATTTGTGCCTCAATAATCTATTCAAACTAAAGTTCAAGTCTGTTGGCCTATCAAATTAAAGTCTCAGTACATTTCGGTTTCATGTTAGCTTTTTAGTATTTGGAGCCTACCTCTTTTTCTTCCTTATTACAATAACAAAAAAAGCAACCTTTTCCCTCAAAGGGCAGCTAACAGATATTGAGAGATGACTATAGGCCAGGTGTTGATCTTGAATTGCTTTGTACATACTGCCTCATTTCATTGTAAAAAAAAAAAAATCTTGTTATTAAGTGCTGTTGAGTAGGGCCCAACTCATAGCAATGTTGTATAGGATGTTTCAAGAATAAGTAGTGGGTTTGAACTACAGTCCAGTGCTTACTGTATGGCACCAAACAAGGACTCCTTCAAATAAAAACTATTATTGCATCCATTTCCTAAAAGGAGTAATTTAGCAACAGTTTTTGAGAAATTTGACCCAACTCAGATATGGAAGTCTGGGTTGACTGACAGGCACCACAGCTGGTATACTGGCACATAAACTAATTTTCAGGCTAGTGATACTATTTAGTAACACTTGAACTACTCCAAGTTGTTGTTGTTGTTGTTGTTGTTAAGTGCTCTCCAGTTTGGTGGACTCATATGTAGGGATTCATGTATAGGGTTTCCAGGAGTGGTTGGTGGGTTTCAACCACCAACCTTGTGGTAAACAATCCAGTGCTTATCCTACAGCACCACACCAGGACTCTGAATTGCTCCCTGTGATTGTTAAGTACCACTGATTCGTCTCTGACTCTTAGGATTTCTGATGAGTGACTGATGAGTTTGAATCGCTGACCCTGAGGCTCAAACCAAACTTGCGGTCCAGTGCCGCTTAATACCCCCACCTGGTATATACATTCCTATTACATCAAATTACTCTTTCTTTTCTATGTATCAGAACTGTCACTTTTTTAAATTATATTTTTGATTCACTGAAATAATCAAACATTCATTATTATGAGCACACAAGTTTAGGTATAGCTCTATCATAGAAGAAATTCTACTCTTTGAAATTTTTTTCTTGGTTTAACTCACCAGTAGTAAGCAATGGAGTTCTGGTATGGCACTGTGGTTTAATGCGCTGGATTGCAAGTTGGTTTGATCTGAAAGGGTGGTGGTTCAAGGTCACCAGCCACTCCTCAGAAACCCTATACAGGGTCTCTATGGATCAGAAAAGACTAGATAGCCCTTAACTATAACAACAACATAGTAAGCAATACCATCCTAATGAAGACAAAATTATGACTAGTCTGTTGTTAAGCACCATTGAATCAGTTCTGACTCATAGCAACTCTGTATAGGGTTTCCAAGAAGCAGCTGATGGGTTTTAACTTTAAACCTTGTGGTTAGCAGTCTAGTGCTTATCCAAAAGAACCACACCAGGACTCCTATGACTAGTGTAGCACCTGGGATAAAGTGTGCCTATAATGTTGTAGATAGTTGGTTCTGATGCATACTTAACTCATATATGGTTTCTGAGGATTTAAATCTTTGCAGCAGAAGAAAGCCCCATCTTTCTTCAGTGTACCTATAATAAATGGATGTTAATTAATTATACTTACCCAGACAGATTTGTATTGGATACATGAAAATATTACTTACTTATCCATAGGAAATAGAGTTTGTGTTTTGGGGCTGTAAAAGCTTAAAAAATTCTTACTATAGCACTGCAAAAAGTATTAATCATAATAGGAAATAAAGCATATTGTGCTGACAGATTTGTTTAAATGTCATAAGAAGTCCAATGTATTGAAAGGATAGATTAATTAAATGTGAACAAATGGTAAGCATCCTTATTTATTGCTTTCATCAAGATTTAATTTTTTTTTTCTTATTTCTTGAACAAAACAAAAATCTTTTCGAGTGTATCCTTGAAAGCTTGTTTCACTTGCTGGTTCTTTAGACTATAAATAAAGGGATTTAGTAAAGGGGCAACTGAGGTATAGATAACAGCTGCACTCTTGGATAAAGCCATCCTGTCTTTTGCTGATGGCTTCATGTAAATAAAGACACAGCTACCATAAGTAAGAGAGACTACAATCATGTGGGAAGAACAAGTAGAAAAAGCTTTTGTTCTTTTCTGAACAGAGGGAATTTTTAGAATGGTCTTGATTATATATGTATAGGAAAGAATTACTAACAGTAATGTGGCCATAAGTGTTACAACTGCCGACACAAAGGAAATTAATTCTAGCAAGCGAGTGTCTGTGCAAGAAATCTGCAAGATAGGAGAACTGTCATACATAAAATGATCAATCACCCTCGAAGCACAAAATTCCAGTTTCAGTCCCATGACCAGTGGTGGGAAGATAATCAGAAACCCAGTTGTCCATGAACTGAGCACAAGTTGGTAGCACACTTTGCTGCTCATAATGATGTGGTAATGGAGAGGTGTGCAAATGGCAACATAGCGGTCATAAGACAAGGCAGCCAGAAGGTAAAACTCTGTAATTCCTAGTAAGAGAAAGAAGAACAATTGAGATGCACAACTATTGTAGGAAATGATTTTGTTTTTAGTCACAATGGTTGTCAGGAATCTAGGAATGCAGACTGTTGTCAATGAGATTTCCAAGAAGGAGAAATTTCGGAGGAAGAAATACATTGGAGTCTTGAGGCGAGGATCCAGCAGGGTGAGGATGATGATGATTAAGTTCCCCGTAAGGCTCAAAATGTAGTTGAGAAAGAGAAATATGAAAATTAAAGTTTGCAGCAGAGGATCATCAGTCAGTCCAAAAAGAATGAACTGTATTTCCATTGATTGGTTTCTTATATTCATTTCTCTTTTCCAAACTCATTTCCTGGTACAAAACTTTCTAGTAAATTACTTACAATTATTAAAGTCATCTATATGACTTAGGAAATGAAACAAAGGAATAGAATAAATTTTCATCTGCAGGGGTTTTCAGATTGCTTCATAATGGTCATAAAACACGGCAGAAGATTAAATTCTGCAACTCCTGATAAGAGGAAAAAGAATATTTGATTGAAGAAGCATTGTATGAAATGATTTGGTTTTAGTCACAATGGCTGTCTGCAATGTAGGAATAGAGACTGTTCCCAGTGAAATTTTCTAGAAGGAGATATTCCAAAACATGAAATATATTAGAATCTTAAATGATAATCCAGTTAAGTGAGAAGGATGATGTATAAGTTCTTCATAACATTCAAAATGTGGTTGAGAAAGAGAAATATAAAAATCACAATTTGCAACTGTGGATTATTTGTCACTTCCAAAAGAATGAACTCTGTCTCCCATGACTTGATTTTTCATTTCATTTTGAGTCCTATTAAACAACACCACAAACAAAAATAACAAAAAAATGTTTAAAGTGATAATCATGGAAAAAATCATTATCTAGAAATGCAAACAAGTGTAAACAAGACACACAATACTTAATATTAAAGCATAGATCAACCTAAGTATTTGCTTTGTATTTCCTATGTATGTTTAATTATTATAATAAATATTCACACAACCTAGACAATTTTGCCAGTGTTTTTAGTTTTATATAAAGCTTTTTAAATGTTTAAAAAATATGAAATATTAACAGTAACTTATTTCCCCTAACTATGATTGAAATTCTCTGATATACTCATATGTATGACATAATTCTTTAATCCAAGCAGTATTGTTACATTGTTCTTTGACTTATTTTACTTAATAATATTTTTTTGGCTTCAAAACATCTGTCTTCTCATAATCTACTCATCATTTTGAAATGTTTTCATGACAGTTATTAAATCGTAGCTATAGTAAAGGCAAAACAAACACAATCAAATAACTTCTAATTTGATCTTTGTCTTGAATTCATATAATTTATGAATCCTTAAACAGGTTTTTTTTTCCCTATTTTGGCACAAAACAATCAATAATTCTGTCAACTTGTCAAGTATGTTGATGTTTTTAATAGTTGGACATAAGAATTTAATAATTTTCTAGAAGACTAGCATACAAATGATAGTTAATAGTCACTTGTGATTCTAATTGTATTCATTAGGTATTAAGCTTTATGCTTTTGAAATTCATAAATAAGACTTTCTCTACAGTTGAACAAAGCCAATATTTGCTAAAATATTGATTGAGTGCATTATGTTCAACAGATGATTTTCTTGTATAGATGTTTGTAGTGGAAAGAGAGCTTTTCTGTTTATCTGAGGGAATATTTCAAATTGCTGTCCAAAAATCCTACTATTTAAAGTAAGATTCCAGATATTATTTAAATAAGGGTATTTGCAAAATATTTACCTTATTCATTTAAAAGTCATTGCAATGATTCTTATTTTAAGCTCTCACATGTATCAAAATAATTTCTTCCGTCACTGTGAATAAGAATTTTACGAGATCTTTTCCTTTTAATATTTTTTTTTCTTACTCTCTACTCAATGTAGCAACATATCTATTCTCTTATAATAATATTCTTTTGAGTTTTGATGCTAGTTATTGAGGAAAATACTACAGTGCTCCTATTTTCAAGTGACTTAACGCCCAATATTTTACGTGTTGTTAAGTGCCGTCGAGTCGGATCCGACCTATAGTAACCCTATATAGGGTTTCCCAAGAGCAACTTGTGAGCTTGAACCGCCAACGTTGCAGTTCAAATGGCTTTGCAATCTGGTGCATTAACCCACAGAGCCACACCAGGAATCAGTGGTCCCTTATATTTCCATGTGGCTTTGAGAAAGAGAGAGAATGAGAGGAAGACAAAGACTGATGAAAAAATCATAAGCATTGATGTGGGTAATTTTCAAAATCAGAACTCAGGTATAGTAGCAATGTTTCTTCTATCGCTTGACTACTGAAAATATTAAAGGATGAGTAAAGACAGTGTTTGTTTGTCAAATAGTCATATTTTTTTTACTGTAATGCCTTTAGCCCCAATGTTGCCCTATTCTGTGTAAAATAAACTCTTCTGAGTTAATCAAACAAATTTTGCAAACATCATGTTTATAGATGACAAACCCAAATGCCACTTGATTAAAAGCCTACAGAATAGTTGCTATTTCTCTCTTCAAAATTTTCTGCATGATTACAGTTAAATTTACTTAAAAAAAGAAAAAGTATAAAGCTACAATTTATATCGTTGCTGTTGTTAAGTGTCGTCGAGTCAATTCCAACCCATAGCGGCCCTGTGTAGGGTTTCCAAGGAGCAGCTGGGGAGCTTGAACCACAGACTTTGCAGTTCAAATGGCTTTGTAGTCTGGTGTATTAACCCACAGTGCCACACCTCTGTATAATCAGGTAGCTTTGAATATTGCATCCACATAGATAGAATATTATGATGATTTGAATGCAAATTGTATTGTAATTTTCTTCACCTATGATCCAGGTATTTATTATAAATTATAAGCAACTTACCAATAGTAGGATGTATTGATATCTTTTCTCCTTTAAGGACACACGGTATAAACAAAAGTCAAATAATACATGATAAATTTTGTATCTTTTCTAATATTAGAAAATATTTCATCATGAAAATAAGAAACTTAATTACAGAGCTTTTCTTGAAAAGGATTCAAATCAGAGAGGAAATTTGGAAAGTATATGCATCTGGTAATGTTTCCCAATTTCACATAAAGTGAAAAATCTGTAGGATCCAGATATTAAATATAATTCAATTAGAAAATTTTAAATGCCAGAAAGAAATTTTCGGATTTTTTTTCTTAAATGAAAATAATGTTCTAAAAGAAGGGCACTTTAGGAAAGTTCTCAGATTAAATAAATCTTTCTCTAACAAAGAATGACTATGCTTGCAATTGGGCACTAACAAAAACTAGTTTTATCAGTTGGCACATAAGAAACTCAAGGGTATTAATTGAAATGAAAGGAAGAAAAACAAATAAATCTGTGGAGACTGTTGTTCCAGACCTACTAATTACATACTACACACACACACACAAACTCATAAAATTCTAAATTGTTTTAAGTAAAACACTGAAGGAGCATTCTCCCAAATGATGACTAGAAATTGGTTAAACTCTATATGAGATGTGACATGCCAAAAAGATTCTCATGTTCCACTTCCCCAGAGCTTTGGAGTAATTCTACTTATGTCAGATTTCATTTCAAACAGGAAACTCTCTCTTGCCTCCATTAGACAATATATTAAGATTCCATTGACTTGATTGTTGCCTAAGCCAATGATTAAGAAAAAGTACTGAAATTGTTTTTACTTAATACCATTTCTATTCTAAAACAATCTCAACTCAAAGGAAAGTTTCAAATACAGTGCAAGATTTTTACCCCCTAAATCGTTTGTTGCCCTATTTCTTGCTCAATTCTGTAGTTTACATTCAGTGCAAACAAGCAACACTGTACTGTATAGTTAAGATTTAACTATTAATAATAAAACTAGAGTCCTAGTCTGGTGCTGTAGGATAAACACTGGGCTGCTAATCACAGGGTCTGTGGTTGAAAGTCACCAGCCTCTCTTAAAATGCTATACAGAGTCGATATAAGTTGGAACCTACTCTACATCACTTAACAATAACAAGGACATTAGCAATGATTTATTAATAGCATCCAACATTCCAATCCTATTCAATTCTTACCAGTTTATAGAAAAAAGGTACACATAGTTCAGAGTTACATTTTCATTTTGTTGCCATGACTCTAGTTGCCTTTGTTACGGAGCAGTTTCTCAGTCATTTCTTAGCTTTCATGAATGCTGAAAATAGATTTCTAGTAATTATACACAATGTGGCTTGATTTGTGTTTTTCTGAGGTTTTAGCTTAATTAGAGTCTATAAATTTATTTTTGACTAAAAGTAGGAACCTTGGTGGCACCATGGGTTAAGTTATGGACTGCTAGCTGAATGGCAGGCTGATTGAACCCACCAGCTGCTCTACAGGAGAAAGCTGAGGCAGTCTGTTTCCATAAAGATGTACAGCCTCAAAAGCCCCTACAGACCAGTTCTGCTCTGTCTTGTAATTGCTCTGAGTAAAATTGATTTGATGGCAGTGGATTTGGATAGTTTCTCACTGAAGTGATTCGGTATTCTCATTAAGTCATATCAGTAATCACTATTTCATTAATATTTTAAACTACTGATGATCTTTTCTTTCATTTATTGATTAATGTGGTGATTAATAGCCTTCTTCACCATAAAACTACTTTTTATGTTGGTGTTTTGTGAAGGTAGTTTGAATACTATGAATATACAAATCTCCATAGCATTTCACTTAATGATTAACTACTTTATTTCAATATGTACTCATGGTTTGCAATGTTGTCTATCTTAGCAAACAAATATGCCAAGCATCTATGTAGTTTATATAGCTAAACTTTATCTCCATTAATACTGTTTTTAATTTGAATTTCAATAAACCCTATTTTTCAAGTCATTCTCTTCAGTAACCTCTTATATCTACCTAGACTACTCCCTTTTTATTTACTAAGTTATTGAACACTTAATATACTTTGTGTGAATTCTTTCAAGTTATTTGTATTTTGTGATTCTATTCAGCAGTTATTATTTCTATTTTCTATTACGTGGTGCCTTGCTAAATATATAATAGATATTCTGTTAAGAACTAACACTATTTAAAGTTTAATCTTGCTTATATTATACCTAAACATAGATTTCAATAGACTACAAAAGTCCTCACAACTGGACCAGAAAGCAATATCACAATAAATGGAGAAAATATTGAAATTGTCAAGAATTTAATTTTACTTGGAACCATAATCAAATACCATGGAAGCATGATGAAAAAATGAAATAACATATTTTATTGGGCAAATCTGCTGCAAAATATTTCTTTAAAGTATTTTAAAA